ACAGGCAAAGTGACTGGAAGATGGATACATGTCATCTGACATACAGCAACGTTTGTCTTCATATTACATCTCTAATCTACAGGCAAAGTGACTGGAAGATGGATACATGTCATCTGACATACAGCAACGTTTGTCTTCATATTACATCTCTAATCTACAGGCAAAGTGGCTGGAAGATGGATACATGTCATCTGACATACAGCAACGTTTGTCTTCAAATTTAAAAATCCCTCCTTACCACATGAATGTTTTAATGCAAACTTAACCCAGTTATTGTACTTGCTTAAATTATAGTTAGTCTTTAAGTCTTTAAGAGAATGAAATTCCACCTCAGATGTAACGACAACAAATAAGAATGGGAAGAGGTGCCATGCAGCATTATGGACAATATCCCCAGCAGTGAGATTTTAATGAATACATGTCTATAAAAGGAACACATCTGCCAAGATAAACATGAAACTCCAAACAATCGTTTACTCCATAGTTTATTGTCATTGAGGCATGAATCCTTACCCATTACACCAATTTCCCTTTTGCGTAATGGATATTTTGGGTTTTTTGTGAATTTCAGGAAGACGCAACGTGCAAGCTGTTTGCTCAGATAGTTCAATGGGCCATTAATCATGAATAAGGGCAGGACTTAAGGTAGACAACACATGTTACAACAATAGACCATCCAAAGTGTGAGGTGAACAGGCAGTGGTGACGGAAAGCAGAGGAGTGGCTAGAAATTCTTGGTCCCCTGACAAAATGTGACCTTGGGCCCTGTTGAAGCCGATAATGTAACAATGGCCAATAATGTAATAGTTTTTCCATTTTTAACGTAATAAAAGTTTATAATGTAATAACTGGTCAATAATGTAATACCTTTTCTGAATTGTTAATGTAAGTTATTACATTAAGAACAGAGAAATGTATTACATTATTGGCATGTTATTACGTTATTGGTACGTATTACGTACATTATTGGCTGTTACAGGGCCCCCCACTAGGATTGGCACTTTCAATTTTGGATCCCCCCAGTAGATTTAGCCAAATAGGGGCAGTTTAACGTTAAACGCAAATTTCACTAGTAAATTTCACTTACTAACTAAACTCTGCTAGAGGTAAGACGTGTGTTAGAAGCAATCCGTGAATATTTTTTAATATTTTAATGCACTTTCATGCACTTTTCAGTATTATTGACCCATTTTTAAGTTTCATTGACATGTTTTTAATACAAGTACTATTTCATCACACGATAGGTACAATACTCATATCAAATAAAAATACTTTTTGATGACATTTTGGTGGTTTATTTTGAATTGCTTTAAAGTAGTAAAACACACTGCATCTTTAAGATTGCGATCATAAATACACATGATAAACTAACATGCAGAGCGGCTTATTCCACTCCCCCCGCTCTGTACTTGATATGTATTTGTCAATAATGTATATTTGTTTGTTTGTTTTTACTTGTTTGTTCTGGGTCAGATGAGGGATCTGCATGATTGCTCCAAAGAAACTGAAAATGGAAGGGGGTGTTTGTATTGTTTTATAGTGCTGTTTTCTGTCTCTTCGGATAGAAGTGATTTCACGCTGCTTTTCAACCTGTTATTCTTTGCATTGCTAGTAGGCTACTGTGATATGTAAATGAAAATACGAATTTGATAATACGGAAAAGTTTGTATCTAGATCGGGATGATCTAACCCAATGTTGCTTTGAAAAACCGGCACAAAAGTAAAATGGATTACCCAGTCCTGCATAGCAAATTTCCAAATCAAGATCATTCTGATCCAGATTAAACCTTTTGAACGACTAACCAAGAAAAATGGTTGGAAGATCGATGATTATTACGAAAATGGATATCTGTGCTTACTTGGTTGTGCCTAGTCTGCAATCGATTGACAGGCGATCGACTGTGAGACCTTAGAGATTTACAAAATCCGACGGAAATAATGTGGCTTAATGGCGTGTTGAATTCACAGGTAAAAGTCTTTCATAAAGTTTTAACAAGCTCAAAAGACTACTACAAATTGTGCGTGTGCCTGATATACAGTTTAATGAAAAGCGACATTTGATTTTTGTCATTTTGAGCTACTTTACTGCTTCGAATGGGTAAACACGGTGAAGGATGCGTTACATTTCAAATGTAAACATCCCCTCTGCCTGAGGAGCTGCTCCTTCGGCCGGATTCTCGGTTCGCCATTCGTCAGATTTATTGCTTTTTTTTTTTTCTTGCGAAATATAACGTAACTGGTTGGGATTTGCATTTTGTTTTCATTTATCGATCTGTCTTGGTAAGTTGGGTAACTTTTAGTAAATTATGTATACCGGGGAAGCCTGTTGTCGTGCTAACCAGCGTTTTCTCGAATTGTGTGCTGGTCGTAAAAATGGCGGAGGGGAAAATGAAGTAATTTGAGCTCTTTGTGTGTTGTTTGCCAATGTAGATGGTGTGGGCCGCTGCACGCGGGCCAGGACCGTAGTCATCCAGGGTACCGGCACACCCAGAGCAAGTCTGCGGGTGCACCGGCTGCGAGATGGGCCTCTTGTACTGCGTCTTCTGCGCCATTGGAAAGAGTATAGACATTTTATGCTTCTTGCTGGATTTGAACTTCTGGATGGTCCACTCGCTCATCCGGCTGCTGGTGACTGTGCTGTCCTTCGTGAAGGACTTGCCAGCAGTGCTGAGAGGCGCGCTGGCAGAGTGCTGGAGCACGGCCCTCCTGTGTGCTCTCAGCATGGTTGACGGGCTGTCGCAGGGCGTCAGGATGGCAGGACACTTTCTGGAGCACAGTGTGCTGCGGGTGAAAGAGCTGCTGCAGCGAGCCACACTCTCTGGCCACTCAGCGGTGCAGCAGGTTTGTGAGGCCTGCGGAGTTGTGCATGGTCTACTTCTCTATGTGCTCAACAGCGCCTCCACTGGGTTGACGTTAGGGGCACAGAGTGTCTGCTCTGCAGCTGTGGGCCTGTGGGATGTGGTAGGGGGGGCCCTGCTTCGAGCCGTTGAACTGACCGTGGCACTGCCAGCTGTGATTTGGAGTGGCCTCGCCGGTACTGCTGCCCTGCTGTGGACACTCTGTTGCTTTGTTCTGGAGTTCCTGGGTTCACTGAGCCGTGTCTTCGTCAGCGTCTTCCTGCTGGATCTCTGCGGCCTGGTGCTCGCTGTAATCGTGGTGGGTGTCGCGGTTCTCTACCTTAGCCCCAGCCTCGCTCGCCGCATTCTGTGGGATGGCGGCGCCTCCCCCATCATGGGGCGCCTGCGAGGGGTGCTGCGGCGCTTGCGTTTGCTGGCGCTGGAGAGCACACAGGTGGTCATGGAGTTGCAGACGCGGCTTCGTGCGGCATGGGGTGGGAGCTATGTCCAGAGGAGGGGGGTGGGGAGCCTTGACACTTCTCGCCGTCAGGTGACAACCAGTGATAGAACCCCGGGTGGCCTGGCGACACGGCGCAGCTCCACACTGGGCATGGCTGTCCCATGCTCCAGCATGGAGGGGCCCCTGCAAAGACTCTCAGAAGAGGACCCCCCTGCTGACAGCCTGCTGGGCCTCCTGAAGGAGCAGGAGGACAGGAAGCGCTGCGTCATCTGCCAGGACAGCGCCAAGAGTGTGCTGCTTCTGCCTTGCCGTCACCTGTGTCTTTGCCGCGGCTGCACTCAGCTGCTACTGCGCCTCCCTGTGCACCAGCACAACTGCCCCCTGTGCCGCCACATGATCCTGCAGACCATGGATGTCTATCTCTGAGGAGGGCAACTTCCACACGCACGAGGCTCGCTCGTACAGCTGCTTCCTCTTCCAGGATCTCACTGGACATTCCACTCCCCTCTTTTGTGGGTCCGTTTGTGCATGAGATGGATGCTGGTGTTCTGTGCAGTCAGGTAGTCCTGTAAGGTGAGGTTGTCTGTCTTTTTTAATACTCCCTTGCAAATTGCAATAAAAGCACTGCAAAAATTCCAGCTGTTTTTGAATAAGACAGCAATGTCACAAAATTGTTTGCAGTCTGTGATATACCACAGGAACAATAGGAATCGTTTATACATAGCTTGGAGTCTGGATCCCCTTTCAGTAGTATTAAGTGCAAAGTTTTTTATATCATTGTGGATGTCTAAGAATTGTTTGATACTTTAAAATTGTCTTAATGTTTGTGATATTTGTTGAAAGCAGGTGCAATGCAGGTATTTTTATTAGAATAAATAAATTTCTAATATTGTTGATGGAAGTACTTTATTCCCAAATCATTTTTCCATATCTCCTGGGAACACCAGCTTTACATGGAATGAAAATGTCAAATTCACAAAGTATATGTATGCTGATCATTCATTCAATTTTGACTGATTTATACGCTTTGTCTTGGACCACCGTTATAATTTGTTTTATAATAAAGGGTTATGTCCATCACGGTTGAATTTCCTGTTGCATCCTGTGCTTCTCCTGTTTCCTGCCAAGTCCAGCCTGGGACCAGATATTGACCTGTTGTCAGGATTGCTATTAGTCTGTCAGCAAACAGCATTCCACACCTTTTATGTTTATGCTGAAATGGTATCGATTGGAGGACTCTGAAACCTAAAACCTACAGTTTTGCAGTAGAAAGCCTCCCTGATTTTGCAGGGGTAGTAATTGAATTCTGTCCAAAGGCATCATCCAGTAGGGCTTTTCTGGTCTTTGGTGCTCCTGTTCTCGGAAACTGTCTGCAGCTCTGACACCCTGTATGCCTGGCACCGTCCTCAAAGCTGTTGGGGCTGGATAAGGTGCCATGTGATTCTCTTGATCTTACTTTTTCGGGAACTTTTAATATTATTACCAGGATGTTCTCTGTTGTTTTGCAGTGTTTGATTGATTTTTAGGCCAGTGCTCCAGTAATGCGACGACCATTAGAGTTAAAGTTCCTGTTATGTAACTTCTTATAGCTTAAAATCTTAAAAAAAAATTGTTTTTATATGCAATAAGATCTTAGTGCTCATTACTTGGACTTGTCAAAATTGACATTTTCATTTAGTACTGCTGGGAGTGTAGCTTATTAGACCTATCTCAGCTTTGATTCTTGTTACAAATTATAATTCCGGATGAGAAGGGTCCAGTGGAGTAGTTTTCGGAGTTATGAGTCAAATAAGAACAATAGAGTTTTCAATAGTTCAGTCTGAACTTCGGTGTGCAGGTCATATGATCAGAGCCAGCTGATGCAGTTTCACAATGTTGGTTAAAAGTCTAATTTTTCAAGTTCATAATACTTAGTGTCACGCCCCGCTCCGTCCGCTCCCGATGTGTGCC